CTCTTATTAAGCTATAAGAGCTTATAAGGGAAGGACTACGTAATTTCGAGCAAGAAAACCCTTTAAGAAAGAAAACCTTGCTACTCTATGCTAATTGTTAGGGGAGTTTCGCTATATACTAAGTAGTTATAGCCGTCTGCGAGTCGTTCCGAACATGTACCAACTGCTAGCCATCGCCTCTTGTCATCCTGAACCACACTCCATCTCCTGGGTGGTAGTTCCCCAGGGTCGGACAGAGAGCCCTTGTGGTGCCTGCACTTGTGAACCAGGTTCACTAAGGGGAGAATAGCTGTAGTCTCGAGTACCCCTTTGTAACTCCTCGCTCTTCTTCGCGCTGAAATGCTTTGATCTGTGAAATAAAAGTTCTTCTCTGCTGCTGTAAGGTGGTATCTGGTAGAAGGCTGTATCCTGCTGCTCTAAGAAGGGCATTAAGGTGAGAGGGTTCGTGAGTCGCAAGTCTATCCCGCCTCTTATTGACTCTCTATAGGAGATTATAACTCACTAGTGCCTCACACTAGGTAGCAAGTCTAGCGCTACGACCCAGACTTTTGCTCTAATCTCCTGTTCTATCTCTTTGCTTCCTAAGATACTGTTATCTTGCTATAACCGACTATACCTGTGTATGTTTTTCTTCTTCTGCCTGATCATGCCTCTGTACACGTTATACCCTTCTTATGCCCCCTCCTTCAGGCGGTAGTTCCCTAGGGTTCAGGACAAGGGCCTAAAGAGGTTCTACTGGTCAGAACTAATCACGACAAGAGTGAATGCTTTGTGACTTGTTATAGATTAGATCTTTCCTTTTATTTGACGGTTTTCTGTGTTGTTGTAGGGTCATTACTACTCGCAACTAGTCGCTAACCAACGCGATCTTAAGCAGCCACTCGCCCTTGAGTGTAAGCTTTCTTTAGTTTCCTTACGCTAAAGCATGAGTACTCACGCCGAACACCACGAGAAGGTAGAAGCTCATGTCTTATCTGCCTTACGCAGCAGACGCCTGATGCACGCCCACAATTTTATTATACTATTCTATGTTGATTAAGGTAGCTTTTCTTTATAAAACAGTATAACACAGAGTTCGCATCCTTCTACCAGGTCTCTGCCACGCTTTCCTATACCTACCGATCAAGGCGAGGTACTTCAGGATTCAGGTAAGGCAAGCCCTTACTTACGCTCTAATTGTAGTTTACTCTTTAAGCATATAGCACTAGCGTCCAGCTAGAACGATATCGCTTTGATTCGTACACAAAACACGTAGTCCTCGCAGGCTCTCAGTACAAGTGAGATAGCTGGTCCAGACTCTTTATATATTGACATGCGCATACTATCCTCTCGGGCTGTGCAGACGGTCTCCTTAGTGGCCGCCATTATATACCACGCCCTACGTTAAGCCTAGAGGGCTCTTTGCTTCACGTTATCTATAGAAGTCTTCTTTATACAGACAGACTATGTCTTGCAAATGATTTATTTGATATCTATATACTAGCTATATACTAATTCTTTACTTACTAACTAAGCTTATATCTCTATTATCTTAATAGATGCCCTTATATAATGCGCTTATAGCTACGCTTTAATAAGTTTATATAAGTTTATTCTAAGTAAACTAATATTCTTAATTACTGACTTGTCTTAACCAGTTGAGCCCTAACATAGCGCTTGTATTAGCGAAATAAAAGGTAGTTCTAAAGCGAGATAAAGTATTTTCGACTGTCTTAATAGTATCACGTTCATATAAGGCTAAAACCGCTTTTCAGCCACAGTTATAGATTCGTTCGCTTTAGCGCGTTATTTTCGACTTAAGGATTCGATAGCCTGCTGCCTCACCTATACCATGCAGCTTGAATAGCTCTTTCCGAATCAATGTGCCTGCGGTAGCTTGTGCATCAGCAAGAAGCCGTACACAGCGCGGAGTGTCGATTATCGTTCTTGGCCTGCGTGGCGACTTTGGGCTCGAATTAATCGCAGGATCAGGGTTTTGGCAGTTTCTTCTGCTTGTTTTGCGCATTCGAGCCATTTTGTAGACGATTTCAGCTTGAATTGATAGAGAAATAGAGGGTTGAAGATAGAGGGTGTAAAACAGGGGTGTACGGAACTATATCTTTATTTTTGGCACCTAGCTTCGGGCCTACTGATGCCCTAAGCAGTGGGGCTTTGAATGACCCTCGGCCCCTAGTGGTCTGATTCTGGGGTCAATGTGCCCTAGAATAGTGGTTGCTTAAGGGTGTTTGTTTTCACTTTCCAACACCCCTTCCCTCCCCACCAGAAAAGAGGGGGTGCTGATATTGCATGGACCCACCAAAAAAGGGAGCCTTGGATGAAAGCGAGGATATTTTATCAGACAGTGCAACAATAAGCGATCCTGTAAAGTCGAAGTACCTTGACCCAAGATCACCACACGGAGTTTCATTACGCCGGAATGTCGATTATACACCTATTTGGGGAGGGTTGGGTTGCTATGTCTAGATGCAGCTATTTTCAAGATTGGATGTCAAAAGAGAAAGACCAGCGTTTAATTTAGAAAGGTTGCGACGTTCAGAGGCAAACTCAAACGCCAAGATTTAGTAGAAAGCTAATGATTAGACGCTCAGAGATGCTCAGACGTGAGCACGGATGAGCACGGATTTCCTCGGAGCATTCTCCTAGGAATACCTCTCACAGGAACAGTACCTGCCTTCTGCATGTCCCGAACATAGAGGCACTGCTTTGTCACCTTCTGACTTCCCCTCACCAGAAGCTTACCAACGCTTTCTGATGCTATGGCCCCTTGGACAGAACGGCTTAGAGCCAAGTTAGGCAGAAAGAAACCATTGACGGCCCCGCTTGGTGAAGCGTCATCCACTTCCACTGTCCCACACGCATCGGCAGCTCTTGATCCTGCCGCGTCACAGCCCAGCTTACCAGAGCGACTGTGGAATCAAGCATACGACCAGGCAAAGGCGGGTGATTTGAGTATCGTTGATACATATGAGAGGATTCTTTCCGCCCAATTGAGCCAAAAAAATGCAGACCCAGCAGACCTTGCGTCGCAGCAGAACGAGATCGATCAGAACCCAGAGAAACGATGGGTACAGATGCGCCGGCTCGTTCAGGACGGGCTGCACAGGACAGAAAAGGAAACCAATGTGAAGCAAGGCATGGAAGACGGCATCCAAGCCGCTATGGCCGTGAAAGAGGTCGTAGACAAGGCAATCAAAGCGGCGCCAGAAGCGGCTCTCGCCTGGGTTGGCGTGTGCCTTGCGCTAGAGGTTGGTCCTGCTGTCATTGAGACAAGTATCTGGCGCTGATGTGTACTATTAAGATCTTGATGAACCCACTCACTCAGGCGAGCTCTAACCGACAAGGCATTGCCTACGTTGTCTCGAGGATGGACTGGTACTGGAACCTGTCAAGCCTCCTACTAGATGAGAACATTACTGAAGGGCGCCCCCAAGGACTACGGGGTGAGCTCGAGAAGAACATTACCCATCTCTACGCGAAGCTTCTGCTGTACCAGATGAAAAGCGTATGCTATTACCACCGCCGACGACTTTCCGTGCTCGCGCGGGATCTGATCAAACTTGACGACTGGGGTGGCGAGTTAAACGACATACAGGCTACGGAAGCGGCCGTGCAAAGGGACTCAGAGCAGTACAACACGCTCTCGATCAGGTCTCGCCTTGGCTCCATTGCCGAGACGGCTAAGTCGCAGAATACCAAGCTCGATAGCATTAGTTCGGCTATTCGGGAGCAAAGTAGGCAGCAGGAGAGGATGCACGAGACCAGTGCGGACAACAAGTGCCTGGCAGATCTGTGCAGCACTGATCCTCGTGATGATAAGACGCGTATCGAAAGCACCAAAGGCGGCCTGCTCCAGGACTCGTATCTCTGGATCCTTGAAAATCCCGGCTTTCAACAATGGCGCAATGACCCGCAAAGCCGACTGCTCTGGATCAAGGCTGATCCTGGTAAGGGCAAGACGATGCTGCTTTGTGGGATTATCAACGAGCTGAGAAAGTCGATGGCCAAGACAGGTCTTCTGTCCTACTTCTTCTGTCAGGCCACAGACTCGCGCATTAATAATGCCACGGCCGTGCTGCGAGGCTTGGTGTACTTGCTTGTCGATCAGCAGCCATCGCTAATCTCGTATATACGGAAGAAGTACGATCATGCAGGCAAAAGCCTCTTTGAGGATGCAAATGCCTGGGTTGCCTTGTCCGAGATCTTCATCAACCTTCTGCAAGACCCTAGCTTGAATAGTACGTACTTGGTCGTCGACGCGCTCGACGAATGCATGGCAGACTTGCCGAAACTGCTAGACTTCATCGTCCAGAGTTCGTCTATGTCCTCTCGCGTCAAGTGGATCGTCTCTAGCCGCAACTGGCCGGACATCGAGGAACATCTTGAACGAGCGGGACACAAGGTGAGGCTGTCCCTGGAACTCAATGCTGAGTCTGTGTCTACAGCTGTCAGCACATTCATTCGGCACAAAGTACTTCGGCTGGCGGAACAAAAGAAGTACGACGATAAAACGCGAGACGCCGTGCTAGCTCACCTGTCCGCAAATGCGAATGACACTTTCCTCTGGGTAGCTTTGGTCTGTCAAAATCTCGAGAAGATCTCACGGTGGAACATCCTCACGAAGCTGAACACATTTCCACCTGGACTCGACTCTCTTTACAAGCAAATGATGAAGAAAATACGCAACTCGGATGATGCTGATCTCTGCAAGCGGATACTGGCCTCGATCGCGATCATATACCGACCCATCACGCTAAAAGAACTAACATCTCTTGTCGAGATGCCTGAAGACATGGCCGATGACCTAGAGTCGTTACGGGGGATTATTGGCTACTGTGGCTCGTTTCTTACTCTGCGAGAGGACACGGTTTATTTTGTGCATCAGTCCGCAAAGGACTTTTTATTCGCAGAGGCATCCGAAGATGTCTTTCCCTGTGGAAGGGCAGAAGCCCACTACATTGTCTTCTCCAGATCGCTCCAAGCCTTGTCTAAGATGTTAGACCGAGACATGTACAACTTGCGTGCGTTAGGATATCCTGCCGAGCGAATTAAGCAGCCAGACCAAGATCCTCTAGCAGTGTCGCGCTATTCGTGTATCTACTGGGTCGATCACCTCTACAACTCAGATTCCAAATCTTCTGCAAATCACGAGGTTGGTCTGCAAGATGGAGGCGCTGTTCACCAATTCCTAAGAAAAAAGTATCTTTACTGGCTGGAGGCTCTTAGCCTGTGCAAGAGCATGTCGAAGGGTGTAGTTTCAATGGCGAAACTAGAGACTTTAATCCAGGTAATCCCTAGATCAGCGATTCTATCTATATATAATGCATACTGATATAACCTAGGGAAGAGCAGACGCCTCTGCATTAACTGAACTAGTTCTAGATGCACGTCGATTTATTATGTATCACAAGTGGGCAATAGAACAAAGCCCTCTTCAGGCGTATGCGTCGGCACTCGTGTTCACTCCAGCCCGCAGCCTGATGAGGGGTCTTTTCAAGGAGGAAGAGCCGAAACAAATCATGATAAAGCCAGATGTGAGAGATCAATGGAGTGCTTGCCTGCAGACGCTGGAGGGCCATAGCAGTTCGGTCTGGTCAGTGGCCTTCTCCCACGACTTGACACGGCTGGCGTCGGGGTCGCAGGACAACACGGTCAAGATCTGGGATGCGAGCAGCGGCGAGTGCCTGCAGACGCTCGAGGGCCATAGCGGTTCGGTCAACTCAGTAGCCTTCTCCCACGACTCGACACGGCTGGCGTCGGGGTCGCAGGACAGCACGGTCAAGATCTGGGATGCGAGCAGCGGCGAGTGCCTGCAGACGCTCGAGGGCCATAGCGGTTCGGTCAACTCAGTGGCCTTCTCCCACGACTCGACACGGCTGGCGTCGGGGTCGCAGGACAGCACGGTCAAGATCTGGGATGCAAGCAGCGGTGAGTACCTGCAGACGCTCGAGGGCCATGGCAGTTGGGTCTGCTCAGTAGCCTTCTCCCACGACTCGACACGGCTGGCGTCGGGGTCGGAGGACAGCACGGTCAAGATCTGGGATGCGAGCAGCGGCGAGTGCCTGCAGACGCTCGAGGGCCATAGCGGTTGGGTCTGCTCAGTGGCCTTCTCCCACGACTCGACACGGCTGGCGTCGGGGTCGCAGGACAGCACGGTCAAGATCTGGGATGCAAGCAGCGGTGAGTACCTGCAGACGCTCGAGGGCCATAGCGGTTCGGTCAACTCAGTAGCCTTCTCCCACGACTCGACACGGCTGGCGTCGGGGTCGCAGGACAGCACGGTCAAGATCTGGGATGCGAGTAGCGGCGAGTGCCTGCAGACGCTCAAGGGCCATAGCGGTTGGGTCTGCTCAGTGGCCTTCTCCTACGACTCGACACGGCTGGCGTCGGGGGCGGAGGACAGCACGGTCAAGATCTGGGATGCGAGTAGCGGCGAGTGCCTGCAGACGCTCAAGGGCCATAGCGGTTGGGTCTGCTCAGTGGCCTTCTCCCACGACTCGACACGGCTGGCGTCGGGGTCAGTGGATAACACAGTCAAGATCTGGGATGCAAGCAGCGGTGAGTACCTGCAGACGCTCGAGGGCCATAGCGGTTCGGTCAACTCAGTAGCCTTCTCCCACGACTCGACACGGCTGGCGTCAGGGTCGGAGGACAGCACGGTCAAGATCTGGGATGCGAGCAGCGACGAGTGCCTACAGACGTTCAAGGTTGACAAGGCACTTATGGACATATCATTTGACATTACAGACTCATATCTTCACACTGAAATTGGTACTATCGTTATTGATGCATCATCAGTTTCGAATATTACACCGACTGTTACAGAACCTCAAAATCCTCAATATCATGGCTATGCTTTGAGTTCGAATAAAGCATGGATAACATATCGTTCAAAGAACCTGTTATGGCTACCCTCGGAGTATCGACCATTCTGTTCGACCGTGTCGGGGGAGACGATCGCCTTCGGTACCCGATCTGGAAAGGTATGGATATGCAGCTTCGAGCTTGAAAATCTTAAGGACTTTGTGGCGTAATAGAGAGGTAACTATCTAATTATTATATGATTTTATGATATCTCTATTTCGTTGAAGGGTCTGGGGATAAGCGTGAATATATAGACAGGTGGTTTGCCATGGCGAAGCTTCAAGAATCTTCTAAATTGATGGCAAGATGGCCAGTAGCAGAAATACCTGTAGTGTTTTCTCCACGCTTACGTCTTATTAGAAGCAGACGAACACCTGATAGCCACCCGTTGAAGAAGATAGAGATCGAATGAGGATTTCAAATGTTTAATAGCGGATCAGCTACTACAACAGCATGTAGTACGAATGCTATACTAGATATAATTAAAGCATTGTTGATTGAGTTGCTTAGGGATCGGGTGCTCCTATGCTAGAAATGAGACTAACTAGACTAGTTAACACAGACCTTTCTGGCAGCTTTGCAGCATAAGCTTAGGAATAGTATCTCTTATAGGAAAGTTGAGGAGTCAGAGATTAATTGACTTGGTATCTATACATTATCAGATTTCTAATCCTATTTCGTGTAGCAGGTGGAAGCTATTAAACGAACAATAATTATTCAAGTCTCGATTTCTCCTGGGAGGTCAGATTTCCTGGGACATTGAATTTCCTGAGAAACAGGCTACGGGAGAATTAGGCTCTTAGGAGAACCAGGCTCCTAGGAAAGTTAGGCCAATAGCTACTATGTTCCCTAGTAAGTAACCACTATTCTGAGGCAAGTTAGCCCTGAAATCAGATAGCTAAAGACTAATAGTCATCCAAAGCCATAATATTTAAGGCGTCAGCAGGCCGAGATGAGTTTGCGTTTCCTTTTGAACGTACAATATTCTATTTTTCATGTTAGACGTGCTGATCGATTAAGGACACCAAATAATGTTAAAAGTAACAAATTACTTGTGCACTAAAGTTGCAGCCAGGGCAAAATTCTGGTCATGCAATACGTACGGCGGTCCTCCGGTCCACAAATCCCTCCGCACGCAGGCTCTGGGGATGCACTCGTTCTAAAAGGTCTCCCTGACATGCTGATTGTTGATGTAGACTCCTGCCGCCGCCGCCGACGCGACTCAGACACCTTTCTGGCTATTGACCTCCACACCGAACGCCAGCCCATTGACGAAGTTACAGGTAGTCTCGCGGAACCGAAAACCATCTGAACGCGACAGGCACCACAAATCTAACTCTCAAAGTGTTGGATTGCAATCTCGGTTCGACTGACTTTCAGGCCTTTCGCTTCTTGTTATGGCATGACGGTGATTTGCCTGGTTTGTCGCACGACTTTGTGCATTTTGCCGAGATATCTCTCCGACATGAAGCTGTAACGTGCGAAAACTTAGACTTTCGATTCATTTTCCTCAGGTGCACATGCTGATATGGAAAGAAATGACGCACCTCCAATTCAGATTTGCAAGTACAACGTCCTGCACTCCTTGGATGTATTTCTGCACTTGGGCATCGATCTTTTCACCCCATTGGGGGAGGTCAGCTAGAGCAAGGTACCAATCACGGTAACATTTTCTAAGCAGAGCATTCACAGCCTCGAAGGCTTGCTGCGCGGGCATGCCATTGATGCGGAATATGGCCACAAGGTTGTGGTTCACGCCTTCGGCCTAGACAACATCAGCTATCATCAGTTCAACAAGCTTTGGCACCGATCTGGAGACTGCTCACCTCCTCCTTGCAGTAAGAAATTATGTCATTTTGACTGTGAAGCATATCAGATATCATCCATGAGAAAATATGTCGCGATTCTCACAATACAACGAGGTCCGTTCCAATACGCTCAATTTCTTTTATGGATGGGTGTTCGAAGATTTCGTCCGGTATATCAAGACTATGGGCATACCTAAATGACGCAATGAATCAGTGGCTTGTAGGTGGTTCGTGCAAGATCTCCATACTCGAGCAAGGCAAAAAGTGGAGTAACGCCTGAAGATCGTCTGCGGGTTGCCAGCTGTTCTGCAATGCTGGGTAGCTCTGCGTGGCTTTCTCGGTCGACGTGCTCAAGAGTTCCAATGCAGTAGTTTTCCATGGCTTTTTGAAAGCGTCGTTGAACACCTTGGCTCATCAGTTTGAGCTTGAGATTATCATTCACAGCTGTCGAGCTGGACGATACTAACCAATCGGGGATGTCTACGCACAGAGTCAATGTAGGAAAATTGAAAGAGCACAAACACAAACCTTGACAATCCGCTGCCAAACTGAGTTATGCACCTCTATCAAGGGATCCTTTGGAAATGGTGACTTCTCGTTGCGCATGATGGACAGGAGGTCTCCCATCATTAGTTGTGCCCTTTCTGGGTTTTGCCTCAGAATGCCGTTGTCAAACACTGTTCGATGGATGAGTTTCAGTCCTCGATTAATGTAGTGACGAACGAACTGTCATCCCATGGAAAGACCTGGATGTAGAGATGTCAGTCGAGCGGCCCAGTGTCAAGCAAGATTGACAGATAAAGTGAAAGTTACCCAGTTACCCCAATCACACAGTGTCCGGAGCTCTTCTGGTCCGGCCTCTGGAGCCGAAACCGAGCAGAAGAACGAAAAGTTTGTTCCACATATCCTTGTCTTCATCCGCTGATCAAAGTTGCACTTGCTGCACTTCTCAGCGTTCGGAAAAATCTGGACGACAACGAACCAACCTGTTGATCCATGCTTCCGACTCCCTCCTTACCTTTTCGTAATGAGGATTCACCCTTGGTTTCTGCGCGAGAAAAGAAACAAACATATCGGGGAGCAGGGCTGGAATTCTTGATGGTGTAACATTTTGCTTGTACCTCAGGCTCTCCTGGCAAAATGGATGCACGGCTGAGGGTGAGCTGTTCTGATTCACCGTCATGACAGTACCGGTGGATCAACGCTTGCGAAAGATTCTTGGGGGACAAGTGGAGCAACGATTAATGAGTGTAGATGGCCCACTGCATGTAAGACTAGGTCCATCCATTTGCAAAAGGTTGAAGGTAGCGAACGGTGTATAAATTCTTGCATTGTGCCACACAAATGGAGGCTAATCAACATCTGTGGCAAGAGTGTGTGTAGATTCTCTAAAGATAGCTACTGAGCAGATCTATCTACTAATGTGGTGCCAAGGCTGCTAGCTATCGGCTAGGCAATAGCAATTGCGAATATGGCGTAACAGGAATCCTTCGACTTCGTGTTGCAGGTACACCATATGGGAGGTTAGTTGCGTTCCATTGGATCATCTCCGCAATGTTCTTTTGACTAAAAGGTCTACTAGCTATAAGATCCCGCTTCAAGTTGGACTACGTAGTAAAGTTGGCCGATTTGGAAATGGGCAGGATTTTCTGATCCTTGCTTCATGCCACTCAGGTTGCTAGTTAGTTTGAAGTCTCTATATATTTAGAAACACGGCTGGGACTCCGTACATTCATAGGGGATTTCAGATTCCTAGATTAAGTAGTGTATGAAGACGGCCCCGAAATGTCTCCGGCAGAACCCACTAGTCCTACCCCAGCACATCTACCTACTCGGTAAGAGGTGTTCTTCGATAATGCAAATGTCGCAGGCCATAGCAATCCTTGTTTTCCAAATGCGGTATTCTTTTGCCTTTTGATAACCGCATGTGATGAGTAAGCGCTACAATCAATGGAGTTAACTAGTACGAGTAAAGATAGCCTTGAACAAAGATGGCGAAGTCTACCTTACGTGGCAAGATCCTTCGGTCCGATGTTGAGGAATGCATGCCGAGACTGCATGCCGAGATTGCAACCTCGTGACCTTTGGTTAAGACTTTTTAAGAAAAGACCTTGATCCTCTTGGAGCTGGCCTTGATCGTATGTAGGGAAATTGGAGAAAGCTGAGTCATTCTGACCTCTTCGTGCTAGTCAATCTTCTGCTCATCTTTCTGGGGAATATCTGGCGCGGTTTAAACATCCTTCCAATCAAGTGTTGGGTGGGAGTGCAGAATGGATTATAGACCGCGCGTGAAATGGAACTATAAATTCGATTGGACAGATAAGCATCTTAGTCGTCAAGAAACCGAGCCGTTAAGATTTAAGTACGATGAATTGGGAGCAGCCGCCCTCACGAAGCTTCAGGATATCTCTGCTCAGAATAAGGGGAGAAAGGTCGCTCACGGAGACCACTCAAAACCCGATCTCTATACTCTTCTGCGTGACAGTCACAAGACGGATCCAGTGCTCAGCAAGTTCTGGGATGAGCTTCACTCGGTGCCAGTTTGGGTCGACTGGGAACAGATCGCACGGGGCCAGAAATTTTTCTACCGATATGCTGCAGCGAATATCACAGGCTTCGCCCTCCAAGGCTTTGTGGGAGAGAACTCTGTATGATCCTGGTTACCAATCTGCCGTTTTTTAGCAGACTCCTGCTGACATTGAGAACCCAGGCTTCTCCTGGCCCTGTTGAAGTCCTTGTCCGTACAGGAGGTTTCTCTACCAAGGTGCTTCTTCATCGCTTGATGGAGACATTTCAGTGGCTTCTGCAAGTCACTTCGGAAATTTCAGCCATCCAACCGCATGGCGAGGGCCATGCATCCACCATCCGGGTGCGACTTTTGCACGCTTCCGTTCGACAGCGAATCATGAAGCTCGTTCGATCTCATCCGGAGTACTTCAATGTTGAGAAGTATGGAGTTCCAGTGAATACCCTTGATTCAATCCACTCAATCACGGTTTTTTGTTGCAGTCCGATGTGGTTGCAACTACCCAAGCTGGGCATTGTACCCAGGCAGGAAGAGGTGGACGACTATATCGCCCTCTTTCGTTACATCGCCTACCTCTTGGCGACGCCGACTGAATACTTCGAGACCTCAGAGAAGGCAAAAGCGGTCATGGAGTCTATGTTTTGGCATGAGGTTGAGCCAACACCAACTTCCAAGGTCGTCGGCTACAACTTCGTCAAATGTCTGGAAGACCTTCCACCCATGAACATATCGAAAGGATTTATCGAAGCTGGCAGTAGATGGTTCAATGGCGATGAGCTTTGCGATGCGGTCGATGTCGGCAGGCCTGGGTGGTACCATTACGTGCCGGTGGTGGGACTCAGATGGGCCGTCATGACATTAGCTTTTCTTCAAAGAACAATCCCGCCCCTTGATAGATTCATGGTCGGAGTACGTTCACCTCAAATCATGGATAGTAAGATCAACGACTGACTAGATCGCTTTTTCCACAGTACTTCCGAGATTCGCTTTATCGCGCCATCATCCTCAGTAAGTCTGGTTTAAGTAAACCATCGATATTCGACTTCAAGTATGTGCCGCAGCCAGGTAAGATCACAGAGAAGGAAGATTTGCCGTCGCAGCGGAAAGACGATGGATCGAAGCGGTTGGGGAGGCCGGCGGAGCGGTTCCTGTGGGTGGTGTTTTTGATAGGGTGCGGATTCACAGCTGCCACGGTTGGATTGAGCGTTAAATTGGCCATAGTGGGTTTGGAAACATTTCAAACGTTGCAAGGTTAGCTTGTAACCACATTCACAGAAAGCGGTCTGGAGCTTGATACAAGTAATCCCACAAAGATTCGGTAGGGTTGAGTTAAGTCCGATGACAGGGCTCCATTCTCAGGCTCGCCCCATCAGCGTCCATGGATTTGCATGATAGTCACCAAGTGATCCGATTGACAGTGAAGATGCCATGAGAGTATCGCCCAGTTTGATCTACGTCCAACAATGGTCGCTGACGCCACTTGAATCAATTGAATGCGACATTGTGCACTTTTCTCTTGACGTATTTTTCTTCCTTTTTTGCCCACTGGATTGCCCTACTAGTGGAGAGGTATTTTTGATCTTCATGGAAGCCGACAATTCTTCTATTTCTAGTGGTGCGTCACATACTCCGTAAACTGCTGCAACTTCTCGTAAAAGTAAGCCAACCTTCTAAACATACGTTGGCATGTGCATAATGGCATGTCTCTGACATTGTTTCAAGGCTCGGCTTGATGGCCGTAGGAGATGGACGTTGAGGGCTGCAGCACAATCCCGGATGTCGCGGGATGACAACTTCTTAAATCATTACTGCCCATTGCAAAAGTGTTGCAATTCCTAGGCACATGATTCGGAGCTGCTGCTGCTCCAGCTGTTCATACTAATACCAAGTAGAATAACAGGAACTTTATATGGTTCAACAGTTATGAGTCTATTAACTTATAATTGAGCTCATCTTTCTGTTTCACTAAGTCTAAATTTAGAAGATTAAATAGATAAAATATAACTACTTAGTTAATCAAAAAAAAAGATTCTCCTTATATAAAATTAAACTAGTTGTCAGGCTCACTAGGGATGGCAACTCTCTGCTTGCCGATAACGTATCGGCGATACACTAACTAGTTCAGATAGTAGGGCACTAGTAGCTGGCCAAATGGCGGTACGCTACCAGCTACAATCAATCAGACTGACATACCACTTCAGCTTTGAGGTCTCATTTTCACTATTAAGCCACGGCTTAATAAATAGCTTCCTATATTTTTAAGAGAAAGTGCATTAAGATATCCAGGCCCTGAAGGGTCCGAGTCTTCTGCCCTAGAACCTATTGAAATACCCGAAGCCGAGTCTGCGTGATCGCTTGAGGAAGACATTCCGCACTCCTCCTAGAAGAAAGGACTGCGTATAAGCCTGGACGTAGCCTGGATAAATCTCCTGCACTTCCAAATGCCAACACACCGCGAACTAGCGTCACTGTCCCAAGAAAGTCGGCAATAGGCCCTCCGTGAACCGCCATAGCATCGCAGAATCGTGCGTATGCCAGGCAGCGCCCGTCCAGAACGTGCTCGTCTTTCCCTGCAGACTGTATAATTTTTCGTAGAAGCGTTCCCGAATCAACTCGGGCGTCACTGCGCACTGGAACGGGACATGTTGCTCCAGGATCAAGAATTTCGGCTTTCTCATCGACACCCCCTGCAACTTCTGTACGACGTTAACGTCTTTAATCATTGCCTTGCGGATCTGGTGCTCAGGCAATGACGATGGACTACCATAGTATATATGAAAAACGTCTTTAATGCTTCCTGTAGGGGACACAACATAGCCCTCCGGCAGGCGCGGAATATTGAGAACCGCATTGGGCTGGACGTTGATGTAGGTGATGTTGTTATCGAGGCCAGTATCCGTTACAAGTGCTGTCCAATAAGCAGAGTTATTGAATTGGCCGAATAGCTGCAGTTCCTTGTTGGTCAGATCCCAGCCGGTGAGATGGCTGAGTTTCGGTGGGATAGAGGAGACTAATTTCTTTGCTTTAATAAGTTTATTACCTGTAGGTGTGCTGACAACAGCACGGACGCCAGAGTCCGAGCGCTTCAGACTGAGGATGTGGCTTCTGAGCAGGACGTCCGAGCCCAGGGACTCGAGAGCCTTGGAGTAGAGCTCCGAGTTGTTGCGGCGGGCTGTACTGAGATATCCGTTCACAAAGGCGTCGCCATTACTGACGCCGAAGTATTTGGCCACATAGATGGTGGGCTGATCGAGTATGTTCCCTTGGCTTTGTGCGTACTCGAATATCATTAGCGCCGCGTCCTCGAGGCCGTACTTGGTCACATAGTCGCCAAATGGCATCAGTAGGTCGTCTGGGACCGGGTAGGTCAAGTTCCAGCCGTATTCGAGGTATGGATATTGTGTTAGGGTTTCGAAATACTTTTTGAATCCCGTGAGGAAGTCAGGGAGTGTGTAATTGGGCATAGCTTCGCCGGTAGCGAAGTCGGCGTATTTGCTTTCGAAGGGACCATTGCCGACGAAGGTGCTTAGTGGGATGTCGAAGCGTTTGAAAAAGTTGATTGTGGTTGTGAAATTCTGGTAAATGAGCACGCCAATATCGCTCGTTCCGCCAGTCTCAGGGTCAATATATGTGCGAGTGTGGCCGCCGAGACGATTGTTGCGCTCTATGAGGACGATAGATTGATCGTGGTCTTTCAGGCGGACAGCCGCATATGTGCCGCTCGCGCCACCACCGAGGACCAGAAAGTCTTTTGTCACAACGTGAGAGGGGTCATAGTCAGCTTCGTTGAAGGAGACAGAATGGGAAGTGGCAGGGTTGGCCAGAAGGAGAGAGAAGAAGGATAGTGCCGCAAAAGAGAGCAATTTGGAAAACATCTCAACCGTGGAATATTCTTGAGGTCTAACTTACTGCAATGGTTTTCTGGCCAAAAGTCAGTGACGAGCTGATTCTTCAAAATTATATGGGCCGCGCTCAGCCTGCGCCTTCGATCGAGAATTCGAGATCTTCGCATTTGTGATTACGTGCAAGAAGCTAAAACGACATATCCCACATTAATCGTACCACGCATTCTGTTTCTCCTCTATCCACCTTTCTGGCGTAAATTTTGACATTTTTCTCATGGGTGGCAGAAACTCAGTGGCGCAAATGTCTAAATTGGTCTCAACGAACGACAAACACCAATTTCAACCTTAAGCTCATTAAAGATGTTTACTAGACCATCTTTAGCTTTACTAAAGGTTCAGACTTGCTTTCAACTGTGTGGAGCAGAATGGATCAAACTCTCAATTGGTGGTGTGTACGGAGTAGCTAACTAGTTAGAAATCTAAGATACCAAAGTTCGGATGAATAGCTCCCTGGGCGCCAAGGCCCCACAGCCGCAACATTGATTAGGCCCGATGCAGCGAGCGGCACGTTAATCTGCTAATCATAAGCTCTCATGCGTCGTCGCGTTTGCAACAACCAATGAGAAAAATGTTAAAATTTACGCCAGAAAGGTGGATATTGCTTCTACGAATCTTTCCTTGATGACGCCACAGTACGTACTAGCACAAAGGAACACATCTACCATTCCGCCAAAAGAGCAGCGCTGTCACGTGTCACGTTGGAAGCAGGCGACGAGTGCGCGAGATCTTCAGCCCATGTTGAGTGCTATCCTAAGACTGCAGAGCCGACGAGGATGGCACTGGGGTCGCTCCTATATAGCGAGCATGCCCCTTACTAACGCGTAGTGCCAATCAATACCCGGCGGCCCTAGCGCTAGCGGCCGACAAGCATGGCAGCCGTGACAAGCGCCCTTAGGTTTTGAGCCTAGCTCGTAGATATCGTTTTTCAGTAGCAGACTACTACTTACCAGGAGAAGGGACAGCTAAAGATATGAGCTAAGTGCCGTTAGTAGAAATGACAGTCATTCTGTCGAATGACCACTATATTAATATGATAAGAGAGGCATATTTGGACTATACTATGACCATATTTTCACTTAAATACGTCATAAATAGTAAGATTTTATTAGGTAACTGCCGAACAAGTGGCATCGCCTTGTACTATCTAAGCGGTATCACGGTTAGGCTTAATCTAAGCGCACTTTGATGGCTCTCCTAGCATTATTTTAAGAGGGCCTCTTCCTGCTAAGCAGTAGCACCAGTGCAAAAGTTTGAATGCACTATCGCTGTGGGGCCTTGGCGCCAACGGAGCTACAAGTTTCCTCCGAACTTTGTATTCTCAGATATCTAGCTAGTTACACATGCACCACACAATTGATGCTTTAAGTCATACCGCTCCACATCGTTTTGGAAGAACACGAACCCCATAATGTGGATGCTATCATGTGTGTCACCGGATGGCGTCCCTCTCACGGAGATTTCTTCGGAGAGTCCCTAGCCCATGATCTCGGCCCTCCGGCCTATCAGTTCCAGTAGATTGCGCAATTTTCAAGCATGGGGACACTGAATGGGTAAGGGCAGACGAAGCGGCGGATGAAGTGATAGCTCCAAACTTTTCACGCATGCTGTATCGACCTCCCCACAACGCCAAAGGCGTAAAGACTTCCCCATTTCGCCTCCATCGGAGCATGATCCCTACCAACATACTTTCCAGTCTACCAGCAGCATTCGGGGCTGTGAACTACAGCTTGAAGCGGGATCTCATTGCTACACGCGTGGCACCTCCCGGCCTTTCAACCATCAAAAGTAGAACAATATTTTAATTCTACAGAAACCACGCCCTCTACCTCACAGTGTCAAGCCACTACTCCCAGACTATCAGGAGACCACGTATACAGCTCCGGCGCCTTCTTCACGTCCACCAATACTGGAACGAGCATCACGCTCCCCCCAATCTCTCATGGCGATGCTTGGCAGATCTCTCGTCAAACTCTGGTCGACGAAACCCGCAAGATCTCTTGATCAGGTAGTTGGGTTACCTTACCCGGGGTGCCAAGCACGCCTCTTCTCATTCTCTCCTCCCAGCTCTTGGCAGTCTTGAGATGAAACTCTGGTCGACAAAACTCTGTAATTGTTCTCTCGATGCGGTACTTTGCCATCCAATTCTGGAAGGGTCCGGAAGGTAGCCATCCTTCTCCAAGTTCTGCCGACCGGCTGGAGAAGCTCTAGCGGAGGAAGGATGGCAGGTAGGAGCAGATCGGTAGAGTAGTCTGCTTTCTTGCAAGTCTGCCGGTAGGTAGACCCGAGGATCTCTGAGTGATAAAACGGCCGTGCCACTGCCTACTGCTTTCTGGAACCAGAAAAGACACAAGCTGTCAGCGCTTCTCTTCTCGTTGGAAGCGTGCCTGGGGAATATGCTCGAGCGGACGAATGACTGCATGATTATTCAAATGCAGAGACCGGTTGTTTTCTTGTATGTATACCCACCCGGCCGCGACGCTTGTCATCTGCCTCTTCATCCATACAGGATTGGAAAATTGCGGAACCTTGAGTATGCCTCAAACGCATGAAGACTACCCACCACGTAGAGCAGCACGGACTTTCCCCCCTTCTCATAGCCTTTCTCTCCCCACTATCACAGTCCTTTCGCGCCTAGCACCTGCCTCCCTCTCCGAGCTGACCACCCATCCCACCTTTCCAGGGCTTCATCCCACCATCCAAAAAAGGGTGCCAAACCCCCCTGTCCGTACCGATGATGCCAAGCATGCTTCCTCGCCCCGCCACCCCACCGCCTAGGCAAAATCTTCTCATACCCCCACCGCAGATCCAATCCGCTGTGAATCTCCACCAGCAAGTACACGAACACGGGCACAAACAATGTCCGGGTCAAGACGTGTGTGCCAATCACGTTCAAGCTGAAGTTGGCGAGGAGGACAAGGGAGAGGCGTTCGGGAATGGAGAGACGGTTGGTTATCTGCGGGTGGATTTCGGGATGGGTGTGGTGCGGTTTGTGGAGCGGGGTGAGAGGAGGAAAGCGGTGGAGAAGGAGGTGGAGGATGAAAAAGAGGGTGTCGTAGATCAGGAAGGAGAGGATCA